TTAAGAKATTTATCTGTGGGAAATTTTGGAATCAAATGAAATGATAAGAAAACTAAGCAAATGAAAAGACAGACCGTTAAGAGCTACAGGTAAGAGAGAACACTGCAGAGAAGCAAGTGCTGTTACGTACATGGTTCAGCTGTGGGTAGCAGTCATCTGGACACTGGAACATAAACACAGATGTGGGATCTAACCCAAATCATCAGCTCTACCAGGAGAGTGGAGTAATGAGAAAAGGTGTGTGAAATGAGTGGGATGATGGAGGGAAAGTGCTAAATTCTCAGCAGGCAAGGATAACGCCTCCAATAGAATATCAGGACATAGCAATTTGAGCCTGATATTCAAACAGGGAGATAAATACCAAAACAATTAGCTAAACAATTGCAAGTTGCATGAAAAGGAAAGGTCAAAGGACCGTTTGTTGTTTTTTTTTTTTTTTTTTTTTTTAATGTCTTGACCTCTTAACTCTTTGAACTATGATTATTTATATTTTAGACCAAAAAAAAATTTAGGCTTAAAAATTTAAAACTTAAAAATTTAGACCTGGTGGGGGGGAACTTATGCTGCCCTTCTCAAGTTCCRTACAGTCATTTCTAGTTAAGGACTAGAGAACACAATCTTATTTTTCCTTGGATGGGACCCAGAGCTCTTGCTATGATACAATATAAAACTTTAAACCACATGGATAAAAAAAAAAATTTTTTTTCCTCCAAATCAGCATTTTGCCTTGTAGTTGGGAGAAGTCTCTTTCCTTTCCCCAAATGGAAGGACTGAACGAATCCATGTTTAGAGGGTTCCAAGACACCCTTTGCATGGCCAGATTCAGTCTGGCTTTCCACCCCCCTCCCCCCAAACTCATGACAGTGACATTACACACCCCTCCCTTTCTCCCCATATCACACTCATATATCCATTTGGGTATAACCTGAATTAACATGTCTTCTCTCCTAGTTAGGTATTAAGAATTGCAGGTACAGAGCTTGATACAGATATTGAGATATTAACAAATTAAATGTCATATGCATGAGAAATATGTATCCAACCTGAATTTAGAGTAAAATTATATACTTTTAATATAAAATTACATCATCGTCATCATCATTCTAGAATTTGGCCCTCCTGCAGAYCTTTAACCTCAGAATRCCACAGGAGCAGTCTGAACCATGGAACATTCCATGATAACACTGCTTTTGACTGACCAGCATGTTGGTGTCTAGGACCTGCTACTTGGCCCTCGATCATGGTCAACAGAGCTATTTTTAATATATTACTGATTTGGTGTAACTACTTTTTAAAGCTCAGGGTTAGATTAGTTTTCTAGCAAGCATTCCATAAAGAGACCCCTCTACTCTTTGCCCATGAGCCCTGGTTCATTGTAGATAAGAAAACAGCCGAGGCAAGTCTGCCTTCCAAGGTTTGTTGAGTTAGGATCAGGCTCTCTGGGAACAAGGCAACCAGCCTGGTCTAGTCCCTGGGAGGAGGATACTGAGCATACTCAGTGACATTACTGGCATGGGGAGAGCTGGTGCTTTGCCTCTCCTTTGTTTATGAAGTCATTCTGAGCTTAGAATAACTGGTATCTACGTTATTCAGGCTTTGCACTATTTCTGCTTTCTGTCTGGCTTCTCCTCTTTATACTGACAGTACTCCCTGGTGTCTTTCCAGAGCTTGRTAGTGCTCTTTCCTTCCTCATTTATAATTCTCTTCAGGTGTGTTTAGTTCTTCCCTTGCCTCTAGATCCATGCACTTCTCTCTTTCCCTTCCATAGGCAGCTAAATCTGAATAAGATCATTTGAAAGAAATGACAGTGGTGCATCCATACAGCAGGATAGCCATCATCAATTAAAAGCAAAGGGATTACATTTTCCAGTAAATGCATGGAGTTGGAGGATATTTGGCTAAATGAAATAATCCCCCCAAACCAAAGGCTGAATATTTTCTCTAATATGTGGATGCTAATTCACAATGGGGAGAGGGCACTAGAGAAGAGTAGTGTTGCCTTAAGTAACACTAAGAATTGCAGGTACAGGGATAGTGTTACCTTAGTGTAACACTATTCTTCAGTATAGGGATTCTTAGGTATAAGGTATTCTTAGGTAGAGGGAAGTGAAGGGGGAGGGGAAGTGGGAGTGTGGGATAGGAAGGAGAGTAGAAAGAAAGACGTAAATTAATAATATATACACTCTGCATGACCAACATGATTCTACAACAGGTATTCTCAAAAAAATGAGAAATTATATCCCATCTATGTATGATATATCAAAAGTGCAAAAATGCATTCTATTGTTATATATAAATAATTTTATATATAACAAAAAAAATTAAACAAATAAAAAAAATTAAAAATTACAACCTGGATGGACCTTAAGTTTACTGAGTGGAAACAACCAATCTCAAAAGGTTACATACTGTATGATCTATTTTATATTCTTAAAATGGCATAATAGAGGGGGAAAGACTTGTGGTTGCCAGGGGGAAGTGTGACTATAAAGGGACAGCCCGAGGGAGGTCTCTGGTGGTAGAATACTTCTCTCTAGTGCTAGTTACATAAATCTACACATGTAATAAAATGACACAGAACTATACATATACTTCATAGCAATGCCAGTCTTCTGATTTTGACATTGTACTCTTGTTATATGAAATGTAATGGGGAAACTCGGAGAAAGGTAACTGGAATTTCTCTGTTTGAATCTTCCCGTGAATATCTAATTATTTCCAAATATTTGCATTTAAAAAAAATGAACTACTGACACCCTAACAGAGAAGAAAAAATAATCATGCTTAAAGAAGCCAGTCAAAAACGAATACCAAAKAAAAAGTAGATAAATTGAACTACATCAAAACCAAAAGCTTTTGTGCTACAAATGATACGTTAGAGGAAGTGAAGACCACCCTTGTATGTGAGGAAGTATTTGCAAGTCATATATCTGATAAGGAATCTATATCAAAATATATGAAGGACTCTTGAAACTCAAAAGGACAGTCAACCCAGTTGAAAAACTTGAATGGCCAATTCTCCCAAGTAGATATACAACTGGCCACTGAGCACAGGGAAAGAGGTTCAACACTGTTATCGATTATGGAAGTGCAAATCAATGAGACACTTCACAATGGACAGTTCACACTCACTAGGATGCCAATCAAAAAGATAGGTGATAACAAGTGTGAATAAGGATGCAGAGATTCTGGGACACTCATACACTGCTGGTAGGAATGTCAAAAGGTGGASCTACTTTGGAAAATAGTTCRGCAGTTTCTCAACATTTTAAATGTAGTTAAACGTGAACGTTTATAATGGTAGTATTCATAATAGCCAAAAAGGGAAAAAAATCTAATATCTAATAACCAATGAGTGAATAAATGTAGGCAATCCATTACAATGGAGTATGATTCAACAATAAAAATGAAGTATTGATACATGGTACAACGTGAAAGAAGTTAGTTACAGGCAGCCACATATTGTATAATTTTAATTTATATAAGATGTCCAGAATAGCAGTCTATAGAGACAGAAAGTAGTTTATGGATAGGGGGCTGGGGGGAAATAAGAACAGCTGATAATGGGTATGGAATTTCTTTGGGGGGAGAGAATGAAAATATTTTAAACTTAGATTTAAAGTTTAAATTAAAGTCTGTAGATAAATTAAAAACCATTGAATTTTGCACTTTAAATGTATACATTTCATGTTGTATGGATTATATCAATGATATTAAAAAGGAGAATATGCTATATGATTCCATGTACATAAAACTATTTAAAAAATGCAGGCTGATGTGTGGTGTTAAAAAAGAGCTCAGAGGTTGCTTGGGGATGGGAGGGTGAAGAGCAGGTGTGGGCAGGAGGGAAGGATTTCCAAAGGAAATGACAAAACTTTTTGGAGTGATGGATATATTCACCGTCTTATTTGCAGTAATGGTTTTATGTCAACGTTGATTAAATTACACATTTTAATCCTATCTGGCTTATCAATTATTTTTAAAAAGCATGTGTAAACTCAGTAGAGGAATAGTATTTAGAGTCTAGGGGTACAATGGCAAGGAAAAGAGGCCTTCAAGCAGCAACTCGTACTCTGTCAGGCAACAGGCCAGGAAAGAAGCATATATAGATTGCACAATAGAATAATATGAGCTCTGTAGAAATATGCCTAGTAAGTTACGGCCACCTTCCTGGTGACGGAGGGGAGAGGGGATTGGGGAAGTCTTCCTGGAAGTGATGGATCTGTGATGATGTAACAGTCCTCCTTGGTGATGCTAATGTAAGGGGAGCAGTAGTGACACATACTACATAGTTGTTACATCTCAGAGGGCACCTGATTTTATTTGCACTGTATCAAAACCATGCTTTTCCCTCCAATGAGCCTTGTCAGCGAAGCAGATTGTTAAGTGCAAAACAAGGATTTAACAATAAGTGGAAAACAAGGATAAAACGCTTTCCGTTGCCCTCTGAAGACTGTTAAATAAGTTCTGATTACATATTCAGAGTCTGTCCTTCCTGCTGTGTTCTTTGAGGGCCAAAACTGAATGTCTTATTCACCATCCTGTCCCCTGTAGGTAGCATAGGGCTTGGCACACAGCAGAGCTTGATGAAGATTGTTGGCTCATAGGTTTGGATTTGGACTGCAGCACATGGGCAGACATTTGACTGGTGTCTCAGACATGTGTCAAAGTTTTGTGAAAAGAGGTACTAAGTGAAGCAGTACAACTGCCTTCCCCAATTCATGGCCGCTGCTTGTGTCTGAGCTCTGGCCCTCGCTCCCAACCAGTCTGGCCCTGTCTCCCCATGTTTTTTTCCTAGTGGACTGACATCAGAAAACTCTTGCTTTGAGTCCACCTCCCCAAAGGTTCCAGGCATGAAGTTTTCCTGAGAAGGACCTTGGCCATCTGTTCTAGGGAGAGGCAGCTGGCCTGGCCTGCTCTGAACACATTGGGCATTCTGGGACCTGACTCAAGGACCACTCTTGTATTATTTCTTTTCCTTTTCTCCTCCTTGCTTCTAGCACTTCTCTATGCCACCATCTTCGGGAATGTGACGACAATTTTCCAACAGATGTATGCCAATACCAACAGGTACCACGAGATGCTCAACAGTGTTCGGGATTTCCTGAAACTCTACCAGGTGCCCAAAGGACTGAGTGAGCGAGTCATGGACTATATTGTGTCTACCTGGTCCATGTCTAGAGGCATCGACACAGAGAAGGTAAGGAGTGCCAGGAAATCACTTGTCTGTTGGCTTTCTCAAGGTGGGCTGAGACCCTCAAACCTAGCTGAGTTCAGACTTCATCTGGGTGATCCTAGATTYTCAGATCCCTTCTCCCAAGGTTTGGTTGCTTCCACATCAGCCTTCCCCAAAAAACAGCAATTAAGAGTCATTATTTAAGAAACTGGAAAAGCGAGGTGTGCCTCCTGGAAAAGAGAAAAACTGGAAGTCTAACTATCCAGAACAGAATTTCCCAGATTTGGACAATGATGAGAATCAGGTCATGATAAGAGGAGGTTGTTAGTACTACTGATTTTTCCTTTTGTTTCACATTCTAAGGTAGCACATCACTGTTACTAATCTAGTCTTTATTCCAACTTTTGATTTTTGTTCAATGGGAATTTACTTGCATGAACATTGACTTTTTTTTTTAATCGCATTAAAATTAGCTATTTCCTGTTAAATGAGGTTTATTGCCTTCCCCTTAAATCATGTGCTCTAGGATATTGCCCCACTCATCTTCCCTCCTGTCAATCTAGATAAAAATTCTATTATTCATTTATGAATCGTCTCCTTTGTACATTTTCTAAAAGCAAAGATTCCATCCTGGCTCAATTTTTCTCTGCTTAGTCTTTTCTACCACACTTCCTCCCTTTATTGCCAATCTATACATACTTGGGGAAATACCGATTCCTTTTCTCTGTTAGAATTAGGAAAATAAAAACACTATTGCAAAAATACCTATTGACATATTCAAGTCCGAATTCAACTAGCCTTTGGGATCAGCTGTCCATGTTCCTATCTTCCTTCATTGGAATAGTTGGTTGAGAAGTGACAGTGTAAAAGRAAAAATGAACTAAAATCAGCCCTCAACTTTAAAAGAAATGTCACTTTGGATCTGTTGACTGTGCCATGAGACCTACAGCAGCACCGCCACAGCATCGGCTATCATGTCTTGAYAGTGCATTGACAATAAATGTATTTTTTTGTTTCTCCTGCCTGTCTGCCCCTGCAACAGAGCCTTATTTGGCCTTCAGTGGCCATGGGAGGGAGTTGCTGCGATCTCTGTTGACAGGATGAGGACAAGAAGCCCAAATCCTTTTACTAATTGCCCCTGGTCATGGAGCAAAGAACAGCAAAACTAGGATTTGAACCCAGTTTCCCTTTGACTCCAAAGTTTTTTCCTTCGATTCCCTCCCCCACCCTTTAAAAATTTAAAACATGTACTGGAGGGAAGAAGCAGGAGTCTTGATGATGAGGTTCTGATTTCCCAGATGGGCAGGTTGGGAGTTGGAGCCCCACTGAGTCCCCAGCTTTGCCAACCCCCTGCCCCAGTTGTCCCTATTTTTTCTGTGCCTTTCTCTCAACAATGCCTGTAGGCTCTGTGGGTTCCTGACCGCTGATGGAGCAGAAAGGAACTTTGATCTCTCTGCCCTGGAGCTCCTTTTCCCAGGCCCCAGAATGCCTTTGTAAATCTGGTTGTCTGGAAAGAAGCCCTTCCCCACCACCCTCCCTGCAGGGCTAGGCTGGGCCTTTGCCTGTGAGAGATGACACAGTCAGCATTTACCTTCCCTCTCCCTCCCTGCTGTGGAGGGCTTTGGGATTTGTCCCATTTCCTGGCCCAGATGGGAGAGGAAATAGCCATGAACTTCACTATGGTTACTTACTACAGAGCCCAGAGTGGCCCGAATGGCTATTCCCCTTGGCAGGGGCTTACGACGGGCAACTGCTAGGGAGAGAACCTACCAGGGTAGTTCTGGAACACTCTGGATTTAGTGGTAAGTAGCTGGTGACTTTGAGCACATGCTTGTCTCTCTGAACCTCAGTTTTCTTATCTATAATACCTGGAAACTAGATGTCCTCTAAGGTCCTTTAGGTACGAACTTCTGAACTACAAAGACTCCCTCTGATGACATGATGTTGCTGCTACAATAACATAAAAAATGACAACTCGGGCACTGAATATTTGCTTATTCTCAGACCTTCCATACAACAGCTCGTGGAATCCTTGCAAAATTCTCACGCATGATAGAGTCAGGTGCAGGATGCACTCCTGTAACCCCAGCTACTTGGGAGGATCACAGTTTCAAGGCTAGCCTGGGAAACTTGGACCTTGTCTTGAATTTAAGGAAAGCAAAAATTTCTGGGGATATAGCTCAGTGGTAAAGCATCCCTGGCTTCAGTCTCTAGTACTGGGGGGGGGGGGCGGGAAATCCACACACAAATTCAAAAATGAAAACTCAGTAAGCTAAGTATTGCTTCCAGCAAATGCTGAGGCTGTGATTGGATCCAGATCTGCCTGAATCTAAATCTTCTCTCTCAACCTTGACCCAGTCCTGCCCAGCTGGGGGAGGCTATGAGCCTTCAGTGACATATCCCTGTGGCCTTTGAGGCTCTCGAGGAAGAGGAGGGTATCTCCTCCTATAAGCAGTAGGGAGGGGATTGCCAGTGGGGTTGAGGACCGTCCACCCCTCTGTGGAGCTAGTAGATGAGAAGATGGAAATGCCCAAAGGCTACAGCAGTCTGCAGTTCCTCCACTCCAGATTCTCTCACCTCCTCATATTGTGGGCTCTGGGATCAGAGCCCATGAATAAAACATTGCCTCCATGCCTTGCCTTGTTTGCTAGCAGTCTCTGCCAGCAAMGCCCAAGTCAGAGGAAACCAAATATTTAAAGGTGAACTCACCTGCAGAATAAATCTTGGTTCCAAACTACCRAGCACCATTTTGACATGACATGCACCTGCTCCCTGCCCTCTGGTGATCTGCTTGGAAAGAAGAAACACAAATTAAATCTTTACTTCTGCAGGAGCCTTGTTTTTCATAAGCCTTACGGAGCGAGGCACTTAGCAAGCACTCTGCCAAAGGTTTGGCAGCCTGAGCTCTGTGTGCCTCTGTGAGTCCTCCATCCCCACTCCCAGAAAGCGGGTACCCAGAAGGAGGGGATGTTCATTAAGTCACCTGCTGGGGCTACGCTGCCCTGAGCTGTGTACTGGTAGATGTGATTTTATTTAACCTTTGCAAGTCAATGTTACCAGTCTGTGTTTTACAAGAAAACAGAGGTACAGAGCTGTTAAGTCACTTGATGGGGAAGGAGTCGGGATTTTGACTCTGACCTTTTCTCACTGCTGAGCTTCCACGCAGAGACCCGGTGGGTGGGTGGATAGGAAATAAAGTTGTCAAGAGCAAGGTGCTATTTGAGCTCAGCAAATGGCCTGTACTAAGGCAGAGAAGCAAGGGCAGAAAAGTTCCCAGCACTGCAAGGAAAAGTTTTCACTGAACGTTTGATTGTAGGTCCCATGCTGTGTTCACAGAGGAGGGTGGGAGCAATTATTTCAGAACCACTCCTGAATTCACTGGAAAAGTCCACTTGAAGGTGTTCTATTGTGTTACTGAATGCTTGCTATGTAAGAGGCCATGAAGAGGTTTCATAACAAAAATTCAGTTCAGGGAAATATTTCTCCTTCTAGAAAAAGCTGAAAATGTTTTCATTGTTTGAGAAGATGAGACCTATATGTCCCCTTACAGTTCCCATTTTTCTTTGAAAATGCTGCAAGTAAAATTACAAGCCCAGCTGTTTTGTGTAGCTGCCTAGTATAAGAGTTTGTTAAGATGTGACCAGCAGGTTTGAGATCCCTCCTATCCTATTTCCTGCTTGTTCAACTCTGGGCAAGTTATGTCGTTTCCCTGAGCAACAGTTTCTTCATCTGAAAAACTGACACAATAACATTATATCATGGGGTTTATATGAAGACCACATTAGCTATTGCACACAACACTTTTAAAGTGTAAATTTGGGTCCCTCATCTGCTTTCCCTTTCCTTCTTTGTTATTCTCTTTGGCACTCACCACTAGATATTATTTGTCTGTCTGTTTGCTCCTACTAGATGGTAAATTGCAAAAGGGTTAGGATTTTTGTCTTTTTCACTGCCTCATCCTCAGAACTAAAAATGATGCCTGTTATACCATAAGGTACTCAATAAATAGGTATTAAGTGAATAATTTTAAAGTATTTAACAATGCCTGGTACACAGTAAGTATTCAATAAATGTTATTTTATGCATCTCTTTCAATAATACCCCATATTTAGTCCATCAGCAGATCATGTCAGTTCTACATTCATAATATATTCTTTAGTCTATAATCAACCCACTGGGCTATGGAATAGTAGAAGTTATTCCTTCTATCCAACTGTAATTTTGTACCTGCTAACAACAAATTTACCATATATTTCAAAAGAACTAAGTGTATTTTGAATGTTCTCAACACAAAGAAATGGTAAATACTGCAGTATGTTGATTGCCCTGATTTGATCAAGACTCATTGTATACATGTATCAAAGTACCATGCTGTACCCCATAAGTGTGTGCGTTTTGTTACATGTCAATTTAATTTTTTTTTTTTTTGTAACCTGAATTTGGCTCCACTGACAAAGTTCCACAGGTCCCTAGCCTCATACTGGGATGTTTATAGGAGTGACCTAAACAAATTCCTTGATTCCACTGTCTCTACCCTACAATCAGGGCTCTCTAAACCCACTCTGTGGCTGCAGTATTCCTCTTAAAATATGTCAGCTCATCCCACCCCTGCTAAAATGTTTTCCAGTGCTCCTCCCATCAAAGCCAGAATGAAACCAAAGGCTAATCCTGACCTAGAGTCCCTCGAGCTTGTTGTTCTCTCTGCACCTCTTCTCCTTACCCTTCCCTCCCTCCATGATAGCTACTGCTCAGGCCCCCTCAGAACCATTCTGTTTGCCATCCTGCTGGAATGTTCTTCTTCCACGTGGCTCACTCTCATCTGCAAGTGTTGGCTTCAATGTCACCTTAGAGAAGACTTCCTGAATGGAGTCCCACACACTCCCAGTCCCTGTGTCCTGAGCAATCAGCATAGATTATTTTAGACTCTTGCTTGTCTTTCCCACAGAATGAGAGCACCGCCAGGGCAGGATTTGGCTAGAAGAGTAAAGTCGGGCTTTGTGGGGTGTTGCTGCTGCCCCAGGGGGTGCTGAAGGAAGTGAACTGGAGGTTGCAGTGGGGATCCTCACACTGTTTCTTTCTGTGCCCATCCAGGTCCTGCAGATCTGCCCCAAGGACATGAGGGCTGACATCTGCGTGCATCTGAACCGTAAGGTGTTCAAGGAGCACCCAGCCTTCCGACTGGCCAGCGATGGCTGCCTGCGGGCACTGGCCATGGAGTTCCAGACAGTGCACTGTGCCCCAGGGGACCTCATCTACCATGCTGGAGAGAGTGTCGACAGCCTCTGCTTTGTGGTCTCTGGCTCTCTGGAGGTGATTCAAGATGATGAGGTGGTGGCTATCCTAGGTAGGCATTTCCCTTGCTGAATGGACAGGTCCTAACCCAAGATTGGCTTAGCTGCTGGACAGTTCAGTGTCATTGTCACCTTCAACCAGAGGTTGCTCCACAGAGCAGGGCCAATTGGTGCAGACTCCAACAAATATTTAAGTGCCTGTTTTGTGCCAGTGCTGTCTGAGGCACTTGGGGTATTCAATGACAAGAATGGTTTTGTCCTTGGGGCTCCCAGTCTAGGAGAAAAATGAACAAACAGATATTTGCAATCCATTGAAAGGGGTATCCAATCCAGTATCCAAGAGGGAAGAAAGGACACCTAAGTTAAAACCGAAAAATTGAGAACTAGTTAGCATAGAGAATAAAAGGAATGAAGGAATAGTCTAAGAGGAGGGGATAACAGAGACATCTATTAGAGACAGAGACAGATTCATTATGGGAACTGCTAGTTACTCAGTGTTTCCAAAATGAGAGAGGCTCTGACAAGATATGAAGCTGGAGAGAGCGGAGCACTGGCAGATCACATCCAGCTCTGGAAGCCACATAAAGGGCCTTGGATGTGACGTGGGGAAGCCAATGAGGATAGGGAAGATGAAAGGCATGGTCAGATTTAGTCTTTAGAAAGATGACAGAAGTTGCAGCTTGGAGATTGGATTGAAGGAGGGAGGCTGGGACATGGAGACCAGGTTGTGTAGGCATGTTATCTAGGGACAAGTTGATGGTGGCCTGAACTAGGATGGTAACAGGCAGATGGAGAGAAGCAGATGGAATTGGGATATTTAACAAGTAGAACCAATAGAGCCTGGAGATGGATTCATTGTTGGGGGAGACAGAGCAGTCRAGAGGACTGTAGGATTTCTCACTTGGAGAACAGGGAAGCTGGAACACCATACACAGTGATGGGGAACATGAAAGAAAGAGCAGGGACACGGGGTCATGTTGATATTTGGAACACTGAACATCGGTGGCTTTCGAGGAACTCATCAGGAACTCACGTTTTTCTTGGGGTTCTGTCCCTCTGAGGGAAACAAGCCATCACCATCATCATAGCAGCCATCATTTGTGGGCATCTACTCTGTGCCAAACAGCTTACATACAGATTCTCACTTAATCCTCACGGTAACCCTATAAAATGGCTTTATTATCCTCATTTTGTAGATGAGACATTAAAGTTCAGAGAGGTTAAGAGAATCTCCTCATGGCTGATGGGGCCCATGGAGTCCTCAGACTCGGCCATCACCTTATCCCTATATAACATACCTCTGCTCTTACCCATTTTGTGCCATAATCCTAATGATAATTAACAGCCCTTGATGTTACCAGGCAATGCTAGATATTATAAGCACGTGTTTTATCTTTGATATATGATCTCTCTGGAAACTAAGGCAGGGAGAGATTGAGTTACACTGAAGTCCCAAGCTATTTGCTCCCTAGAAACTTAGAGTTTTATTGAGATACAAACTACATAGAGATAGATAGAATTATTTGCTTAAAAGGTCCAAACTAAAGCTGGACATGGTGGCACATGCCTAGAATCCTAGAAACTAGAGAGCCTGAGACAGAAGGATCATAAGTTCAAGTCAAGCTTCAGCAACTTAGTGAGGCCCTAAGCAATTTAGTGAGACACATCTCTAAAAAGGACTGGGGACACAGCTCAGTGGTTAAGCACTGTTGGATTCAATCCCTAGTGCGAAAAAAAAAAAAAATTCCCAAACTTTGTTTCTGCTTGGAGCTGGAGTATACAATCTGCAGCCTCTTTCTCTCTCCCTGGGCCCCAAGCCAACTTGCCCTCTTGATTCCATTTGATTCAGGGTAAACCCAGGATGATTTATATTCCTTCAGCATATGCTGGCAGATGGTCAGAGGGAGAGTGGAGTAGCTTCTGGGAGGGGCCTGGAGACTGAGCCTGTTTGCTAAGTGTTCTGGGATCTGTGATATCCATTGACCTGCGGACCAGATACTCTGCTCCTTGCCTTGTCACAGAAAAGTGAGGTTTGATAGAGCATAAGGAACAGGACTCGGGAAGGTTAAAGACTTTGCTTTGGTATATCTGAAGGGAAAGGGCTTTTATCTCCACCTTTAATACCCATCCATACCCTTGATAGAACTTTTTTAATTTTTGTATTAGTAATAGCTGTCAGGATGTTTACCTGGCTGAGAAAGACTAGTGACTAGGAGCAATCCTTTGAATTTGAATTTGGGTTAACGCTTGGTGCAGGGTATCTTTCATTTCTCCACTGATAACTCACCATGTGCCTTTCCAAGGAATCCAGCCTGAGACCAGCACCATCTACCTAATACACTCATACTCTGGCCATCCTTAACAACCCATCCTAACCTGCTCTGTTAGAAATTGGTTTGGACACCTAGACTCTGGCATGGAAGATGGAACTGAGCAGAGGTGAGGAAGCAAATGGCACTTCCTACCCCTCCTTGCTTCCCCTCAGTCTGGCTGACCTGGTCCATTGACTGCTTCTCCAAATCCAGACCCTCCTGGGCATCTGCCTGCTTGAGGTGGCAATGTGGTTGGGAACTCGAATAGCTCTTCGGCTTTGGATTCACAGTGTTTGCTGCCCTCAAGCTGTCCAGACTAGAAAAGGCACCTCCTATGTTCCCTGGCAGCCAGGTTTGGGGTCCTAAAATTAGGTCCAAGACTTTATATCCTGAATAATCTGTTAAGAGGTCCTTATTCTGTAAAAGGACATGACAAGTCCTTGAATTAGCCTTTCCTCGGAGTCAAGAGGCATAAGAGAGCCCAAGCTATTTGTTCCCTAGAAACTTAGAGTTTTCATATTGTTTTGCTCTCAGTGGAACTTTTTTCTATATTGGGGATTGAACCCAGGAGTGCTTTTACCACTGAGCCACATCCACAGCCCTTTTTATTTTTTGAGACTGGGTCTCGCTGAGTTGATTAGGGCTTCTCTTAAGTTGCTGAGGCTGGCTTTGAACTTGCAATCTTCCTGCCTCAGCCTTCTGAGCCACTGGGATTACAGGTGTGTGCCTACCACACCCAACAGAATAACTTTTGCTCAATGAGCCAAAATCAGTTTGTTCTTGCAAAGGGGTTCAAACATCAAATGGGTGTTGGAACTAGATATTTATGGTCCTTTGATGCCCTTCAGTTCAATCTAACAAAACCTAATTGAACACCTGCTTTACATCAGGTACTTTCATGTGGGGGTGAGGGTGACAGCAGTGGCCCAAATATTGCCCCATCCTTCTAAAAACTGCTGTAATGGAGGGGACAGACATTTAAAGGACAGCAATCACTCTGTGACAAGTATTACCACAGAGAAAATGCAAGTGCTTCTAGGGGCTCATTGAACAAACACTCATTGAGCAGCTGCGATATACCCAGTGCTCCAGTGAGGAAGGATAATATCCAGGGAATCTTTATCACAAGCCAGAGACTTTAGAAAAATATCCAGAGCTCATATGTCTCATTCTTTTGCTCTCTGGTCTCTTGTTATCAGTTGACTCATTTACATTCTGCTAATTTGCTTCCTCTTTCCAGTTCCAATATTCCACCCCCATTCTCTGATTAATTTTAGCACCGACTCCAAGAATGAAGAAAAGGTCAGTACTCATAACTGAGTGTATTTAGTATGTGTTAAAAATAGAACCTTTGCTAATGAAAGTCTTCTAGACTTTTCATGATTGCACCTCACCACATGAAATGTGCATGATGTTGCAAACTAATACATGTATACATACAGTGCTACATAAAATTTAGTATTTCTTTCACTGTATGAAATGCAACATGATGTTTTTTATTAGCTGCTATTCTTTTTTAAATTTTATTTTATTTATTTATTTTTGGTACTGGGTATTGAACCCAGGGGCATTAAACCACTAAGCCACACAGGAAGCCCTTTATTTTTTGAGACAGGCTGTCAAATAAGTTGCTTAGGACCTCATTAAGTTGTTGAGGCTGGCCTCGAACTGGAAATCCTCCTTCCTCATCCTTCCAAGCCACTGGTATTACAGGCATATGCCACTTCACCCAGCTGTTATTTTTTTTAAATGAACATCATAACCTACTAAATTGCTTTCTTGACATGATCAAAATCCACAATTTAAAAACATAGTTCCACAAACCTAGACAACATCCTTTTTGTATTGAAAGCCATGCTGCCCTCTGACAACAGAAGGTTCTAGAAATCTCTTTCCCTCTGTTCTTCTCTGTGCCTTATATTTGATATGACACCCTCCCCCAATCTCCTTTTGGAATTTTCTTAGAAATTACTTAGCAGTTTCTCAAACTTAGTTTCTTGACTCCTTGAAATAAATTCACACTTTAATATGCCCATTCTATTTATTAGATTCTTGAGAGGTAGATTTCTTCTGAATCTTTAAAGATGTTAGAATAAAAAGACATAAGTATCATTTTGTCCCTACCCAAAAGTGCTGTTGGCTTCTACATGTAGATTCTTGTCTTGGTCTTCAGTTCCTTGACCAGCATAGATGAGTCGGAGATCAGCCTCAGGGTGGTGCTTATCTCACTGTGTTTCCATCCTATAAGTGCCATATTTATAAAATCTCACTTCATTGTAACTAATGGGTTTTGCATTTTAGTACTTAATTTGCATTTTGTTCATGGGTCATCTTGTGTCTTGTTTTTTCATTTTTCTTTCATTCTGTTGGAACGTAGGAAGTCTTTTGGCCAGGCTGCATCAAGTAGTAGAAAGAGGCCTGGATCTAGACTTGAGATTTAGTCACAGCCTTGAAAAAGTGAACCACTAGTTTGGTTAAGAGTCTCAAGTCCTCCTGTGTTTCTACTGAGCCCATCATACTGCATCTATTTGCATTATTCATATCTCTGTTCTGTGAGTCCAGGTCCCTTTGATTTCATATCTCTGGCATTTATCACAGGGACCATCACATAGAAGGTACCAGGGACTATTTGCTGAATGAAGTGGAATTGAGAGACACAGGCTGGACTGTGATTGGCTCCATGGGTCAAAGTAAGAGTCTTGTGTTAGGTATTTTGTCACAGCAATAGAAAGCTGAGCAAA